ACTATTTTATTTTTTATTAATAGTATATAAATTAGTTTTTGTTTTATTTTTCTATTTTCTATTTAAATTTTTGTGTTAAAATAAAAAGTGTTTTTTGTGGGGGTTTTTTCCAATATGTCTATATAGTTTTAGTTATTTTATTATTATTTTAGTTTTTGTTATTTTAGAACATTAAGTTAATTAAAATACTATACTAAATAAAAATGAGAAATATTTCCTGGGAATCTGCTGAATTAAAAATAAAAAAAATAATATATATATATATATATATATTTAAAATATAATTTATATATAATAATTGTTCGCAGGTGCACATGTTTTTAATGTGTTCATGAGAGATGAGATGGTACTTCAGTAATTTAGTCAGTCATGCTGAAGTGAGTGTTTTGTACTGCTGTGTGGTTCTCAGTGACATATATCATGGTTTTATGCTGTAAACCTTTTCATTAGTTCAAGCGTTTAAGTGCTGCAGTGTGTATGAACTCTGTTTCATAGAGACGCTGGTTTGTGTGATTTATACGTGTGGATTCTTGGCTGACCGAAACGCCAGTGGAAGTCATGTTTCAGGCCGTTTGTCCTCATTAAACATTTATTTACCTTTTAAAGTATTCGTGCTTCAGTAGTCGTGCCAGGCCAGTTCACCGTCCCTGACCGCTGTGTGGTTTGAGGCTGATTACAGGCCGGTTTGTGGTGTCAGACCTCAAAGAGTCACTTTGGTGAAACAAGACTGATCTTGGCACTAAACTGTTAGTTCTGGGTCATTTGTGAGTTTTGACCAGTTGATGATGATGCATTACAGCACTGAACTCTCAAACATGAACATAATGATTACATGAGCGAATGCAGATGAGCTCTTAGTGGACATTTATGCTCATTATGTTTGATTAGAAATGCATTGAATGCATCTACATCTACTGAATTAATCAAAAATATAATTACTGTTTTTCTTTAGGTTGAAGTTTTGGAGAGAGACTGTCTCGGAGTTAAATAGTTATTTTGCATTTTTAATCCAGGCCAATGAAATAATGAGAAGGTTTTTTTTAATCACTGGTGGCATCACATCCAGTTCATTTGTTACACTGGAAACTGAAAATCAAAGTTAAATGCATTGCAGTGTGGGATAGAGTATGCAGTACAGTGTGCTAAGTAGTATATACTGCAGTGTAGTAAGTCATCAAACTCCCATGCATAACAGTCACTTAGTGTGCAAAGCATGCATACTAAATAGTGTGATCAGTCGGTATGCAGTTGTTAGTATGCAAATGTAAATACAGCCAGAATCAGTGGGTAGTAGCACACTGTGTACACAGTGCATTGCAGTGTGCTCAGTAGTGTATACTGCAGTGCAGTGGGTCATCAAGAATGCATGCAAATAGTGTGCATAGCATGCATACTAAATAGTGTGATTAGTAGGTTATTATGCAATTGTGAACATAGCCAGAATCAATGTAGGTAGCAGCACACTTTGTACCCATTGTAGTATGCAGTGCAGTGTGCATTGCAGTGTAAGATAAGAGTACCCACCGTAGTGTGCACTAGGTACCTGCCTCCAGTGTGTTAGGTCATCAAGAACCAATGCAGAGCGTCCACATAGTGTGCACAGCATGCATACTAGCTAGTGTGATTAGTATGTTAGTATGCAATTGTGAACACAACCAGAATCAGTGTGAGTAGTAGCACACTGTGTATGAAGTGCAGTGTGCATTACAGTATGGGATAGAGTACTAGTGCAGTGTGCATTACAGTGTGGGCTAGTGTTCCCGTTGTAGTGTGCACTGCAGTGTGGGATACAAGTCACCGATGAACGGGAACAGATATCAACAAACAGACTGACTGCACACGTGTGATTTACAGAAACAGCACATTTTGCAAGTTCACAAATACTAGAGTTCAGATGCAGCACTGATAACCAACACTGGAAAGTGTATGAAGTGCAGTGTGCATTACAGTATGGGATAGAGTACTAGTGCAGTGTGCATTACAGTGTGGGCTAGTGTTCCCGTTGTAGTGTGCACTGCAGTGTGGGATACAAGTCACCTTTATTTGTATAGCGCTTTATACAACACTGATTGTGTCAAAGCAGCAAAACAGCACCAGTGCAGTGTGCTCTGTAGTATATACTGCGGTTATCAAGATTCATCCACGTAGTGTACACAGCAGGCATTCTAAAAAGTGTGATTAGTATGTTAGTATGCAATTGTGAACACGGCCGGAAACAAAGTAGGTAGTAGCACACTACATACGCAGTCCAGTGTACATTACAGTGTGGGATACAGTACCCATTGTAGGGTGCACTGCAGTATGGGATAGAGTACTAGTGCAGTAGTATATGCTGCAGTTTAGTAGGTCATCAAGAACTCATGCAGAGCGTCCACATACTGTGCAAAGCATGCATACTAAATAGTGTGATTAATAAGTTAGTATGCAATTGTGAACACAACCAGAATCAATGTGGGTAGTGTCTGCATTTCAGTGTGCATTACAGTGTGGGATAGAGTACCCAGTGCAGTATGCTTAGTAGTATATACTGCAATGTAGTAGGTCATCAAGAATCCTTGCAGAACATCCATGTAGTGTACATAGCATGTATACTAAACAGTGTGATTAGTATGTTAGTACACAATTGTGAACACAGCTGAAATTGATGTGCATACGCAGTGCAGTGTGGGATAGCGTACCCAGTGCAGTGTGCTCAGTGGTATATACTGCAGTGTAGTCAGTCATCAAGAACCCATGCAGAATGTCCACATACTGTTAGTATGCAATTGTGAACACAACCAGAATCAATGTAGGTAGCAGCACACTTCGTATGCAGTGCAGTATATACTGCAGTGTATTAAGTCATTCAGGTACTAATGCAGTGCGTCCATATAGTGTGCAGAGCATGCATACTAAATCGTGTGATTAGTATGATAGTGTGTGATTGTGAACACAGCCGGAATCAGTGCGCGCTGCAGGTGTTTGCTCACTGGACGCCAGCAGATTCAGCAAACACGCGTGAGTGTTTTTATCTCCACACTGAACGACTGCGCTCACTTTATCTGTTTTTTATGCACTTTGTTGTTATCTCTCGCACACTTGAGCGGAGGAAGTGTAAATCATGTCCCATGTTTGTCCAGTGATTGATGAGGCTGAAGGCACACGGCAGGTCACTGCACGCAGGCCGCTTCATTCCAGCATCATGTCTGTGAGTGTATTATTCCTCTTACTCTTAAAGGAGCAGTTCATGCAGAAATGAAACAGCTGCTGTCATCTGCTGATGTCACACAGCTCTGGCGGTGTTTTACTGTATGTTGCTGGTGTTGTGCTTGTAGTGTTGTAGCAGCGCTTCATGTTCTTTGTGTCCTGATGCTAAACACACGCTGCACTGTTGAAGAAAAGCAGTGAATTACACTGAATCACTGAACCTTTATCCAAATAAACAAATGAAACAGTAACGTATTATAATGTTGGTCCACACAGCAACTAGATCTTTAAATGTGAGCAGAGCGAGAGACTCGTCTAGATCAACTTTGAATAAAGAAAAAGAGATTTAGAGACAGATTTTTGATTATGTATGTGAAATTTAGCTGTCAGGAAACAAATGAATGAAGTTATATTTTCCTGTGTTCTCTTTTGAGTAGTCAAACAATCCACTGAAGACATCTTTCTGTGTTATTTTTTAACATTCCTTCGTTACTCCCGTTATTACACTTCTTTTTTCAACATGCTGTCCCAACAGCACATTAATATGCAAATTAGGTACAGAGTAT